AGAAGCTCCCTAAACTAAAACCCTACGCTCGCCCACTCTTCGGCCGCCTCATGACCGCCTCTCGCACATCGCGTCGCACGCGTCATCCGTGCGCCGCCCCTCGAGCTCTCTTAGTCCTTCGGCAATTAGGTCTCGCGCGCGCCCTTCACACGCGCGCGATGTCGCGCGCACATTGCTCGTGTCGTCCGTCCCGCACGCGTACCTGCTGCCTGCCTCACCTAATCCTCCCGCACATAGGCATGCGTCTGCGCATGTCGCCCACTCGCGCGCCACCGCACATGCCCCGTCCTTGTCGCTCACCTCCCGCGCGTGTGCGCCCGCGCTCGGCCGTCCGATTCCCACAAGGCCACGGCTTCCTTCCGCGTCACCTATACTCGTGCGCTTACCGCGCGCTTCGCCCCTGTCGGCTTCTTCGCGCGCGTCCGTGCTAACGCCCTGGCCCCAATCGCCTACGGTGCATCCCCGCGTACCGTCCGCGTTACTGCCCGTCCCAGCCGTCCCCGCGGCCTGGCCATCTATCGCACATCCGGCGTGCGTCACGTCCTCGCTGCCCGACGCCCGCTCGTCACCGCCAACTCCCGTGGCCCGTACGTCCGTTGCTAGTGCATCATCATCGACTGTCCAACCGCGCACATCATGGGCCGATGCGCGCCACTCGTCCATTAGCCGATCATTGTCGTCCTTGTTACCACTTGTTCCCGTCAGCTCGGGCCATGGATCCCAACCCTTTAATCTCACACAATCATCCGCCGGTACACCAACCATTCTTCTCCCATCGCAAACCCCGCCTTTTAGCCTCCTTCTTTTGAGCTTGTCTTTTCTTTGCACAAGGCTCGCACCTACATTGATTTGCTTTTCGGGCCCGTTGATGACGGATCGATCTTTTGTCTATACGGGTTGCGAATAAACGGCGCACTCAGGGCCTTCGTTTATTCCCGATAGGTGTATCTAGCAGACGCACTCAGGGCCTTCTCCTAGACACTGTGACTTCGAGACGCTCTCAGGGCCTTCTCTCCGACACTGTATGTAAAGACGCACTAATGGCCTTCTTTATCACACGTTAAGAACACAAGGTTCCCCCTCAAAATTGGCTCACCAATTCAATACTCAATTCAAGACTTCATATAATGATGGGGTACATGGGGTATTTATAGTTGTAAAATAAATCTATGCCTAAATCTAATAGATCTCCTAAACATTGCAAGAATAGAAATCCTAACTCTAGAAAATCTCCTAAAATATTAATTAAAAGCAATAAAGGAAATAAAATCCTAACAATACTAATTGTCTTGACTTGCACTCCAAGCATAACTTGAAGCACAAGTAATTCCTTCCCAACTCAAACTCTCGGCCGCCCCAATTTTGCACGCCGCCTCTCTTTGCGCGCTGCCCGCGAGGCCTAGTCCTCGTCGGGCGCGGTTTCTTGCGCGCGCGCGCCACGCGCGCCCTTGCACCCGCCTCGTCCTTATGCGCGCCCCGTCCTATCGCCCCTGCCACGCCTATGCCTACGCTGTCTAGGCCTCTAGTTGCGTGACTCCCATTCACGCACGATGCGCGCCCCGCACGCCCGTCGCCCATCGCACCGCGCGTACCGCCACCCGTGCGATTGCCGCGCACGCCCAATCCTCCCGCGCTATTCCCGCGCCTGCCAAGCTGCTTGCGCGTGCTCCCCGACACTCTGCATCTATGAGCGTTATCGCCCGTCGCGCACCCATGCTTGCCCTTTATCGCCCGCATGCGTCTTTTCTCAACCTTTGCCCGCGCATCACCTTTCGATGCGCGCCTTTCGCTTATTAGCCTCGTGACCACCTTCTCGCGTGTCCTTGCGCACTTCCATGCGCGACCTCGTGTTCGTGTAGACTCGTGCCGCTTCTTATGTGCTTGAGTGCCCCGCATACGAGCTCGTACCCGCCTCTTAGGCCATGCATGTACCGTTTTGGCCCTTTTTCCAGCCTCATCGGAACGTCTCGCCTCTTGGATCTTCTTGTCGTCGGGGCTCGGAACCCACTTCCGCATCATTCCCGCCCCCTTTGAGAATGTCCTTGTCCTCAAGGACTCATCTTCGACCATCCAAATCTCGGGCTCGGTGTCCACGACTACTTCGACTCCTTGGGCCTTGACATCTTCGATCTCGACCACCACCAATTGAAACGTGGCCTCCTCTGCATCCGCATGGTCCTTCTTATACGTATTGTCATAGCCCGATAGATCAAACTCAAACAATGGCTCTTCTTCGACAAACTCCTTCATGATCGTGAGTTGTCTTTCATACTCTTCCTTTTGATCGTACATCTCCTCCAAATAATCTCGCTCCCAAGGGGTTAATTCTCTCTCCAAACCCTCCAAATATTCAAGATCCTCTTGATCCCACTCTTCTAATGGCTCAAACATCATGATTTTTTTTTTTTTGACTCTAAAAATCGAAAAAAAATAAATAGGGAAAAATTCGAAAAATTCGAATCCCCAACAAGACTCAAAAAATCGAAACAAAAGAAATTCGGCCCCTCAACAAAAGGTAATAACCGAAAAAAAATCAAACAAATGACTAACAAGTTGACACTTTTTTTTTTAATGAAATTTCGAAAAAAATCTAAAATTTCGACTCAAAAAAAATAAGAGAAATTCGGTTCCCTCACCAAAAGGCAAAACCGAAAAAATAAAGATATGATAGACAAAATATCGATCAGCACCTCTCAATGAAAGCACCAATGATGACGGATCG